TGGCTATTTGAGGTTACTTGGTAAGGTGGTTTCTTCTTCGTTGGTGTTCTGGGCTAAGCCTGACGGGACGGCTTCTTTGTCGTTACTTGGCTTCATGGGAAGCGCGACCCATGCACCTCGCCGGCCGGTCTTTTGTTTCCATTCTTGTTGAGCATGTAGGGTTGGTTGCAGCATTAGTAGGTAGTCAATGTCTCTTCATCGACTTTGGCTAGAGAAAGCGCTTTCAAACTGGAGGAAAACAGGACTCCGGTGGGATATGAGAGGTAGTAACTAGTGTGTCATTAGAATGAGAAGTGGCGCTTGACGCTTGGAATAGTTTTGATTCAATCGAAAATTCTATGGACACTGATTTCCCCTGCCTGCATTGTTGAAATCAGCGTTTTGATTCTGCGTAAGGGTTGTCCCTTCTGGTTTTTAAATGTGTCCTCCTCTCTAGTATCTATTCCGTGATCTCTTTCTCATATAGTCTATATTCATTTCTTATTGCTGGTTTTGTGTAGTTGTGGGAGAAAATGGCAGTGTTTAGCCCTTCCGGGCTGAGTTGTATCCGGATCTGCCTTTCGGTGAAAGGCCGTAGCCATGTTCGCGGGTCCGGTTGTAGCCGCTGCGGCCCTGGGGAACTTCGCGTGACCGATCACTACTCGAGGTCTTGACGTAGTGTGAACCCTCGTTGAGTCTCCCGCTGGTGTCTCGGTGCCTTGACTGCTGGCTAGACCCTGAGCGGCTTGATCTATTTGAGCTTCTGTAGTCCATTGTGATGAGATCTGTTGGCTAGTGTGAGTACTTTGCTCTGCTCTGCTATTGCAAGAGGTATTATGCATTTACCTGAAAGAGGTCTTGCTTGATGTATAGATGATGATTTCGAGGAGTAAAAGGTGGAAAATTGGCTGGTGATGAGCGATTATTGTGTCTGATGGTTGAAGCTAGAAAGATGTGATGAAGCAGCTGCAGACAAGTGAGAAGAAAGGCTCATTCTTATGTGTAGACTGCATATGAAGGCGAGTAATGCTTCTGATAACAGTGGACTGATTCAGTCATGGGATGGTAGATAACGAAAGCTCGTCCTTTCGAAAGAGACGGGGACGTCCATGGCTTGTATATCTCCCCGGCGGGCTGCACCCTGAAGGAAAGTTCTGCGGCATGGCATGGCATGGCATGGCATCCCATCGGACCGTATGACGAAATGCCGAAGCAAGGACGATTTTTGGCTGCAGAAGGGAACGCAACAAGAGTAGAGTGTAAATAAAAGAAAAGAGGCTCGCGCATTGCATTGGGACAAGCTACTTGACATGTGCTAGCGGTGCATATGTGCCTCACTCTTGTTGAGACTCGGCCGAGGGCGTAGTTCTCCGTCTGAAGTAGGGTCACCGCGGCATGGGTTCCTGGCGAGGCCCGGTCCTTCTAGCTGCGTTCGATGATCGGACGTGAAAGCCTGGCGGATCAAGACTACCCAAGGGGGTGGAAGAGGAAGAGAAACTGATGGGTTACGATACACCCCTTCCGGGCACAAGACGGGCAAGAGGAACCATTTACGAGTTGACCAGGGTAACACATGGAAAATTGGGCAGTGAGTTCAACAAGTTGCAACGATAAACGATGGGTTGAGCCTGAACATCGGACCCGGAACCCTTCCTAGAGGACAGCAGAAACATTGAGCTTTGCTACCTGGCTATGTCTTCGCCCAGTCACAGAACGAGGCGTGAGCTTCGGGCATGGCTGACCATGCCAACGGGTCTCCCGGCACGCGGGGCCGGACGGAGGAGAAGCTTTCTTTGCAACTCTGAAGCTCGGATAGACTCCAGAGCCCACGGAATGGAGACCAGCACAGTTTCTTGTCGTTTCTGCTCTCCAAGACTCTAAACCCTGCCCCGGGTGCAAGAAAATTCGCTCGTCTGTGGGCTGACCAGATGTGTCAGTGCCGAGAGAAAGAACTTTTTCTCCCTCTCTTCAGACTCAAGGGCTAAACGGACGACGGGGCGTCTCATCGAGTTTGGGAAATGCTGTGCGAAGGAATAAGATGCGACTCCTGACCAAGAGTTTGAAAAGTGGGCAGCATGGAGGGGTCCGAGTCGAGGAACCACCCGCCGGTCTACCGGCTCCGGACCTCACGTGGAATGTTCCACTCCTTCGGTGCGATGATCGACCCCAACGAGGCGGTGCGCATACTTGCCAACCACTGCAAGACTATCTTAACTCCCGTCCCTCTCAGCTTCTTAGTGTGGCTAATTCCATCTCTCCCGCTTGCACCTCATGTTCCCTCCCGTGAACCTGACGGGAATCTTCATGGATGCTCCTAGGCATAGCCAACTCTTCCTGGATAATCATCAGCCCTATCCTTATCACAACAAAGCAAGGCTAAGCTTCGACAGGACACGCAACGTTTCTCATCAGATTATCTCCACGTTGCTTTGCTTTACACGCATGCTTCACCCCGTCACGAACCTTCGACCCTTGAGGTACGTCATCAGGCATGATGCTCGACTCAAGACATGTATCCGTCTGTCGATGCCTCGCTCGACTTCGCCATGCGCCGGCATGAGGCAATTCCTCCGTCTCTGCGCGACACCAAGCGTCTCTCTTGCGCCCTTTTTTTTTCTTTCTTACTCTTCGTCCCTGCATACTTCAAGAAACCTTTTCCTTTCTACTCCCGGCGGGAGGACCTTGCATAAGCTCCGGACTATTTCTGTCAAAGCGCGAAACAAATGCCCCGAAAAAACTCGTGGCGGTCTCAATTGGGTCGTACTTTACGCACATGTCAAGTTTCTCTCCCGGCTGGTTCCCCGAAGAACACGCATCTAGACGTTGTGGATATCGGAACACAAGTGACTCATTGCTTTAGACCTCAGAAGTCGAAACCTTGCCTATTGTCGCAGCGTCAGATCCACAATCTCTCTTTGGAAGTGTCAGTCAACATGGACAAGTGTCTTTTCAGATAGGCGAATACGTTTGACAAACGTAGCCAAAGTAGTCATAGGCACACACTACCGTGCGGACGATTGCTTCATCTTGCGCAACTTTACCACTTTGCTGATGTTCTTCCGAAGAACCAAGTTTGATCTGCGGTATCTGTCAGAATGTTTCTCGATTTCCCACGAGGCTTGGCTTTATGCTCAGGCCAAATACCTCCTGGACCGAGCGCTCTCTGCCTGCGGTTTGTTTGAAACGGGGGAGCGACGCCCGGTTTGTTGAGGGCGCAGGCTGAAATCTGCGACGTTGCGCCTGGGCCATGGTTGACGGATGAACACTTGCATTTAGCAGCGTTGTCGCAATCGGCTTGTCTCCCGGTTCCGGGCCTGCGTTGTAACACACATGCAAAGCGTAGCGTCGGCCGGTGCCTGGCTTTTCGTCTCGTTTGCCTGCCACAGTTTCCGGACGCCCTCTCTCTACACCAGGAGACGTTGGGGCGGGCTTGAGCCGGCCGATGGCTGACAGTCGAGTGGCTGGATCGGTACGGCGGCACGGCTCAAGCTGCCGAGTTAAGTTCAACCACATAGACTGAAGTAATTCCATTCAAGTTGGTTCTTCAACTGATGAGTCAACTAGATGATCCTCCTATTATCGTGCTTTTTTTTTTGCCATTATTGTTTCCCTTTGTCCATGTTGCTATTGCATATGCATTTGTCTTCAACTAGAGACCATTCAGTGGGAACCCAAAGAAAAAGACGTCTATAAAGAAGATGTGAACATTGGCAACAAGATGATGTGCGTATCTACCTACCTCAAGGCCCTTTCAAGCGAGACTTACATAAAGTAGAGATGAGGTTTCAGAAATCTGAAGCGCTGTGAGATGGCTTTCTTCTGATCGCTTCGTTCTCAAAGATGCCACCTCAACGGGTTGGATGACCTATTGAGTCTCTGGCCTCAAGAACACCCTTCCATCCTTGTTCGTGAAACTTCTTCGTTGGAGATATGTTCCTTAAGTAATCCTAGAAGGTCTCAAGTCTCATTAGTACTAAAGATGATTGATTCAGTGAGAGATGACTGACTTTAAAGTCCTATCAGACTGACTTGATGGCAACCTACCTTGACTTTGAGCCTTCTGCCCCTCTTTCAAACACAACCATGATAAAAGTTGTGTTGATACAGAAGACTCTATAAGCAAAGCGAATTGATGAGTTTCCCATGCTATGTCTACCTATTATTACGTTTATTCTTGCTTGACAACAATGTGGGAAACCACCACTCACAGTTACTCGCTCCTGCCGTTGAAATCAATCTCATAATATCGGGTCGGTCGTACCTCCCAACTTTGGCCATCAGATCAAGGAAGGAAGGAACGAATACGATGGGCTGAATATAAAGCCATCCAAACTACTTAACGGCCTCAGCTGACCTAAGCTATACCCTTTGAATCTTTTCTTCCTCACTCTTCACCAAGTCTTCACTTCCTCTGCTCAGCTTTTGAGATATTTGCTTCAAAACAGGGACAACTATCAAAAAAGTTGTCTTTGATTTCTACAACATTGAGTTTGTTGGTTATCTTTTGCTCCTTTTTTTAATGTTCGCACGAGGCTTCTGCTTCTGAATATCAGCCGGTATATTCGTCTCACATGAATCCTGGCACACACTTCTTTCGGTATGTGGACACAGCATGATATGATTGCTTGACAACAAGAGCAGCAACATTTTTGCAACTGAAAGTTTGCTGACGAAAATGTTTTCTGTGCAGCCAACACTTTTGCTTCTCATTCTAGTCCTACTCGTTCGATCTAGAACAATTGGCCCCAACACCGACCACACAAACAAGAATAAGTTCTTGGAACTACAGTGTCAAACTTTACTTCCCTCCCTCCAACCACAACATCACCAACCATTTTTCCTTGATTGCTTCAAGAAGAAAAACAAGCAAGAGCGATCACAGGAGAGCATATTTAAGAGATTAGGCACCCAGAATCACATTGAGTCTGAACTTGCCAACTGCATCATCAACCTGCCTCACTTCTACGATGGAGGCCATTAATTCTTTCTCTCTTGAAGCGATTCATTCTCACAGACAAATCATGGTCCGCGACGACTTCTTTATCGACTTTCAAGTCCGGGCAAAATTTCACACCGACACATACAGCCTTCATGCTGTCCTTGACCTTGCCGCTGAAGCCAAACTGGCCAATAACATCCTGAGTCAGAGCAGACCGCTCGAGGTAAGTGCGACCTTGAATTCGAAAATAGCAGAATAGGGCTGACAGCTATGACACACAGGAAATTAAGGCTGAATTCCTGGAGTTCCGGGCATTCATCGACTCAATTCTGCCCCGTCTTCCCTACTCCCAGATTACTTGGAAGACTGTCTACATCGCCCAAGACATTGTGGTCGATGGCGATGACGATGGGGATGATGATGAGGAGGAGGAGGAGGAGGAATACGAAGTTGAGGAGGGTTATTACGTAGATTGGTCGCAAAGCTCAAGTGCCAGCAGCGTCACTTCCGAAGGACCTTACCAAGGGTAAGTTTCGTCCATCAAATATCACCTGCCTATCCTAACAACTTGAAGCAACGGCTACGGCAAGCTTGAGTCTCCGGTCCTTCTTCAGCCCGCTGAACTCCCGCTTCTCACAACCTACAAGGACGCTCACGACACCAAAGAGAGGCTGTCAATCTTCTCGAACGAGTTCTTCGAGGTTCGCAAGTCTCCTACGGCTGGTTGGGGCGCTTTCGCGAGCAAGAAGCTGTACCAGGGCGACCAAATCCTCGTCGAAAAGGCCCTCTACCATGCCATCTACGCAGATGTGACCACGTCTGTCAGATCTTTGCCGGAGAAGGAGCGTCTGATCGCGAACGACATGTTTGGCCACAAAGGCCGGGAAGGCGAGACCCACGAGGAGGCGGTTTGGAATACAAACGCGTAGGTTACCTGATCCTTTCCGTTTCCTCATCTACTTGCTGACTCTGATTACATGGCAGTTTCGCGGCGTATGTCCCCTCGAATTCGGGTAACAAGAGAAACACGCCTGGCCTCTTTGCCATTGCGGGCCGATTCAACCACTCCTGCTCGCCCAAGATTGACTACAAGTTCCGTGCCAGTCACGAGTCTCTCGTGTTCACTGTCAGGGACTGGGTGATTGAAGAGGGCGAGGAGCTGACCATCTCGTACGGTCAAGATCCCTCGGTGCTCTACTACAAGTACGGCTTCATCTGCGAGTGTGGACACTGCCGCAGATTCGATCCGCGCAAGTCTGAGTGGTCTTGAGGCGACATCAGATCTTCTTTGGCTATACGGCTTTATGCCTCGACGGGGGAATTGGACATAATGGTATACAGCGGAGGAGATTTGATACAGAGACAGCGGCTTTTGGAAGAGCGATAGTTGGTGCGATGTGGTTTTGGTGAGGAATGATACCCATCTTCGTCCATAGAGAGACGAACTACATGCTGCGTACAAGGCATAGACGCCCCCTAATACAAGATTTTCTTGATTTTCTGCAAACAAATCATGTCCATGTAGTGCTTCCTTTCATGTTGGGATTCTTGAGGGATCATATCAAACCATACAAAAAAATGAACTGTCTGTGGCATTATGTAGGACCACCAAATTCGAACTCGCAACCTTCGCAGGACCCAATTATGCGTAAATGCTTACACCACTAGGTCTTAGACACATTCAGACGGCGCTCAGTGCTTCCCATCCAGAGAATTTTGGCCTATACAGGCAAGGGTGGAGTGGTTGTAGTTTATTCGTGAGTGCGTATTCCATGTCCTTCGGGACCCAACCTTTTTGGACTGAGATGAAACCGTTGCTTGGCGAGTCCGCGCTGTTCAGGCTTTCGTAAGTGGAGGAGCAAAGGAACGGTTTGTTTCCCTTCCAGTCCCTTCACGTCTTTTCACATCGACATTATGCACATTCAGGAACACTGGCTCAAGTCAAGTCAAGTCAAGAAACATGTGCTTTTGGGTAATATGGTAGGTATCAAAGGCGCGACTACCGTCGCGTCGACTGCCATATCCAGTCCTCACGACTTTAGCCTCTCAAAATAAAATAAAATCCAATACTATCACACCACCACCTTACAGTCTGCGGAGAATGTCCTCAATGACCTCAGTGGTCTTGGCGGTACCGCCCAAGTCAGGGCTGAGAAGCTTGCCCTCCTCGAGGTTGGCATCGACGGCGGCGTAGATCTTGGCGGCAGCGGTCTCCTCGTTGAGGAACTCGAGCATGAGGGCAGCGGAACGGATGGTGGCAATGGGGTTGGCAATGTTCTGGAACTGGATATCCGGGGCGCTGCCGTGGCAGGGCTCGCCGATGGCGAAGCCCTCGCCGACGTTGGCGCTGGGCACAAGACCGAGAGAGCCGACGAGGGCAGCGGCGCCGTCGGAGAGGATGTCGCCGTACAGGTTGGGTGCGACGATGACGTCGTAGTCCTCAGGCTGGCGGAAAAGCTTGTAGACCATGGAGTCGACAATCTGCTCCTCGACGGAAACCTTGCCGGCGAAGCGGGGGTCGGCGAGGGCGGCCTTGGAGGTGGCGCGGAAGAGGCCGTCGGTCTGGGAGAGGACATTGGACTTGTGGGTGATTGTGACGAGGGGGCGAGAGTGGATGCTGGCGGCGCCGGCGTCGCGGATCTTTTGGCGGCGGAGGGCGATCTCGCCGGCCATGGCGGCGATGCGGTGGGAGGCGTTTTCGGAGATGCGCTTGATGGCCTCGGCGACCTTGCCGTTGGGGCCGTCGTATGTCTTCTCCTCCTTGACGTAGAGGTCCTCGGTGTTCTCGCGGACAATGACCATGTCGATGGGCTTGGCGGCGGTCAGGACGGTCTTGACGGGGCGGACGTTGGCGTAGAGGTCGAGCTTCTTGCGCAGGGCGACGATGGGGAGGAGTAGCCCTTGACGGGGGTGGTCGGGGAGGAGACGGCGCCGAACAGGGCGCCATCGCACTCCTTCTTGAGGATCTCAACCGTCTTGTCGGGGAGGGCGGCGCCCGTCTGCTCGAAGGTCTCGAAGCCGGCCTTGAGGTCGGTGAACTCGAACTTGAGGCCGAGGTAGGAGGGGAGGGCCTCGAGGACGCGGCGGCCGGCGGGGATGACCTCCTTGCCGATGCCGTCACCGGGGATGAGGCCTGTGGGTAGGTGTGTTAGTGTGGGTTACAGGACGAAGACAGGTCAATTGACCTGTTCAAAGGCAGTCTTACCGATTCTAAGAGTTCTGACAGACATGATGGGCGTCAATTGGCGTCCAAAGTGCTGATTCGGCGGATGGATGAGGGAATGTTGAAGTAGAAGCTCTGGGAGAATGAGTCGCAAGAGTAAAAAAAAGCCCACCTCACCTGCACGGTCGATATCGGAGGTACGGGCCATGCACACCGAGGGCCGATCCGGCGAGCGACCAATTGGTGGCCGACACTGACAAGATCCCCCAGGGTCCTCAGGGCCTTGACTGGCTTACCTTCGCCGCGGTACGTACTTTGCGGGTGTGCATCGGAGCTCTCTAAAGCACGGTTGATTTCGCACTATTGCGTCAAGTCATGGTTACATTGGGAAGTCTGGGATGCACACAGCACGGTAGCACCAGAAGCGCGTCTTGGAACTCTGTTTGATTCGCTTTCGCGTCAATTGACCGGGTCGTGGACTTTGAGTTCTACGTCGAACTTGGCTTCGGCAGGCTTGGGGTTTGATGCGCTGTCAGCCACGATATTGTCAGCATCCACCCACCGTGTCCTCCGTCCACTGCGGGCTATAATTGAACACGAAAATCGCCCTCTGAGAGAGAAAGAATACCTATATGTTCGTCGCCGAATGTCGGCCATGAGACAGATAGTACCTGAGAAGCCGGTCAGGCGACATATGAGAGAGCTTGCGGAAGAGAGTGAGGAGTGGCCTATGGGCAGACCTGGAGCAAGGGCCGAGACTGGTGAGAAATTTCCTCCCCACATTCTGCACTTCTTAGCGTGTTGGAAAAGAACGGTCCCCCGAGCAGTCGTCGAGTCGAAGAGCGGGAAAAGGGCCCCCAAACCCGGTTCTTCCCTGTCGCTGCGAGCTTCCAGAAGACGGGAGGTTCGTCTCGCGCCGAGGAGCGGTATGACCACCCCCAGAAGCTGGAGTCATCGAGTCCAGTCCTTGCTCCTTCCCCTCCGTGTCTCCGTCCCGAGATGGGATATGATGTTCACTTGCCACTGCTAGTGGACACGGCTAGGACACATATCGGAGGCGGATCGAGACTGGAGTGATTAACAACTGGGTAGATTGAAGAGGGGATCCTAGGTTCCAGTGTTCCAGTGTTCCAGATACACAACTTCTCCTCACTACGGACATTGAACAGACACGCGAGGTAGAGAACATAACGGGAGTTTTGAGGTTATTGATTGATAATGGAGATGGGGCCTTTCTCGCAGTTGCTGGAGCAGCCAGACATGGTGGCAATAATGAAACGGGCCTGAATGTCAACAAGGCTAACTTTTTCTCCTTCCGCTGCTGTACGGATACCTGCGTGTCTTTTTTCTTTCCTTTGTCCCCGCGCGTCTGAGGGGCTCGAGGAGGACCCCCTTTCTTTCCAACGAATAATGCATTATGTTCCTGTATAATGGGCCAGAGCTAAGGTACGTTAGACGACAAAAGGCGGTAAGCCAAACCACATGCAGTTACAAGATACACGATGGGCTCTACAGATAACGCACTAATGCACAAAACGGATAGGAGATTGAAGAGGCTATCTGAAACAGGAGACAGTGCATAAGTATCTCAATACGTAGCTTTCTGTTTTGGAGGGGAAAGAACGCGAGAAGGAAACTCTAGGTATACAATGGAGCTGTTCAGAGACACAGACAAAGGAAAAGAGAAATACACAGAGAGTACGTTTGATCATTGGAAATCAACGGCCACCACCCGTCACGCCAGTCCGTCTAGTCAGGTACGAATCGGAACAGAGTCATTGCTCTCCGGCTAGCTGATTCCGATGTCCGCCAGACTGACACTGGCGCCGGCCTGTTCGTCTCGTCCAATTTGCCCGTGCCCCGATTCCGAAGGAACCGTTTAGCAGATACGCTCACTGAGGCTTTTTAGCACGGCCATCGTTGACACAGTCTCCCGACCAGCTTAGAACGCCAATTTCAGGTGAGAGGGGCGTCATTGGGGGCCAGTTGGCCTCTTCCGTTTCCTGCCTCTTAGACTCTTCAGTCTTGAGGCCCAAAGGATGGACGATCACGAGAACCCAAGCTAGGAAAAGGGGCCCAGCAATGAGATCCCAGGGCCCATCGCCAGTAACCATCCACCACTCTAAATGATGAAACCCAAGAGTCGCTGCCATTCACCCAGGTCCGTCGTGTATTACTGACGTGTCTGGAGAAGCTGCATTTCGATACCAGAGCAGTGGCCTGGAGGAAATGAGCTTCCTTCAAGAACCATGTTCTCTGATAAATTGACCCCGGCTGAGCCAATGGATTTCCCACTCGGGGTCCCTGCAGTCGAATTCGAGAAGCGAAAGAGGACGGTCCAGGGCCAGTGATACGGGGTGGGTTGCTGCATTGCTGCAGACGTCCTGCATAGAGGAGGCACATGTCCGCACCGGTGCTGTGTAGATGCATAAGTACCTATCCTTACACATTACCTTATGGATAAGGTACTTGAGGTATCTTAAAAATGGACATCTCTGCTCCACTCAAGCTTCAAGTACCTTGTACAGCATCCGCACCTTAGCTCGTACCTAAGCATGTAGATACATATGCCTTACATAACATCCCACCGCCTTGTGAAGGTGTCAGGAGTGCAACTTTGTATCTGGTAGGCTGACAAGCGCGTCGGGACGGTTTGGTAGCGTGGGAGCAGAGCGAGCATGTGCGTTTATGGGAACCCCTGAATTCCAGTCCAAGTCCCTCACCCCCTACGTAGTATGGTAAAGTGTCTGTCTGTATTCTGTAGCTGTACCAAGTATGGAACTAGGTATGGATGGATGGATAACTGGTCCTGGATAGTTCAGGATAGACAGACAGGTTTACTCCGTACTCCGTAGAGAGCGATTAATAGTGGTGGTGGGCTCTTTTGGCTCGTTTGGATCGATCCAGTCACACGCCCATTGCCCAAATATCCACGTCGGCCGTCCCTTTTCCGCCTCTGATTATGATTATGGGGTGTCCGTAATTTAAATGCCAGCCCTGAAGACCAGCAACCTCACTTCCCTGAGTCTTCCCCTTCTCGAACCACCCACCTTTCGACTCTCGTCTTTTCTCCCCCATACATCACCAGCACTATCTCTCTGATCTGGACGGCGCGGACACGCAAACGCGCGACGGGACGGACCACCTTACACCTCACACCTCAAGTTACAACCTACCGAGGCCTGGAGACGAACGAGACTTTGGCTGAGACATCCAAACAACACATCACCCAATACGAACTGCCTACAACACCACCCACCGCAACAATCAATCGCCTGCCGTCCGCTGTTTGACTGCTTCAACTACCAAAACACCCCCAGCCTACTGTTGATCATGCATCTCCAGCTGTCATAGCAACTCGCTATTCCTCCACCCTATCTTGCCCAACACCCAAAATCCACCAGTCGTTGGGCAGTGTCTGCCTCACTGCACTGACATCGCCGCGACGAGCCCCGTCCACCCCCTGCGCCGTCCCACCTCGACGACCCTCGAGAGCTGTGTCGCGACTTCAAGTGCAGCTTTCTTTCCCTTCGACCTCGATTTGTATACCGACTCCTCCGCAAACACGAGGACAGGCCGGGCATGCGCCTTCTCTCCAGCAACATCCCACGTCCGAGTCCACCATTGTAACCCACCACGCCTGGCGCACGCGATTCTTGCCTCTAAACTTCTGTCTCGAAACGATCCACCCGTCGCAACTTCCACGTTGTCCACATAGGTGCCTCCAACACTTTAGTTGAAAGAAGTCGCTCGGTAGCGACCCAACACCGCCGCCATGTCAGCCGTTAAGAACCTCCGGGCCATGTTCGAGCAAAAAGCCGACTCGAGCCCCCCGGATCGGGGAAGGTCCCCTGGCCTCTCTTCCAGTAAGTTCCCCCGTCGTTCTTAGCTCCATGGCAATAGACGCAGCTTCTCTCGGCAAGTTTGCCTTGTCAACCTCTTCTCAAGGCAGAGAACTACCCAGCCTGGCTCTCCAAACACCGTCTATCCACCGTGTACGCATTTCAACTAACCTGATAACTCTACAGACGGCACCGAAACTCCCCCTCCATCATCCACGCGCCCACTCTCCAAAATTCGAACGAGCTTCGTTGCTGTCGAAAAGGACGGAAGAGTAGGACTCCGCCGAGATCCTAGCAACGAGTCGAGTGTGTCCCAGCGAAGGCTCAGCAGCCATACCGAGGGAGAGGCTTCTGTGTCTGGCCTCTCTGATAAGACAATGGCCACCGAGGACACCTCCGGAGGCTACAAGACAAATATCGTCGGCAGCCCCATTCCCGAGTCTCCTCGCCGCCCCGAAGCGGACAAGCCGACAAACGGAGCCTCCCCTCGTAACTTGGGGGCTCTGAACAATCACCCGAGCCACAACCCCGACAAACACGTAGACATCGAAACGCCTACACCAGAGCTGCTCCCAGGCGACCCTACGCAAGCGTCGCCCGACCACAGCGTTTCCAATGGCACCGCAGCCACGAAGAATACCGGGGCCGCAGCTCCCAAAACCTCCACAAAGACCGCCGCCAAACCCCCTGCGAAACTGGCACCTCCCGCTACCATTACGAGAGCAAAGACACCGTTGAGATCCCCAGTCACTGCCAAGACCCCTACCACAGCAACGGCAGGCTCTAAGCCGAGCGCTCCCAAGGCTCAGCACGACGCCGCAAAGAAGCCTGCCGAGAAGACGGCGACTTCGACCCCCAAGTCCGGTGCTAAAACGGCAGGCGCCGGCAAGCCAGCACCCGTGCAGGTTTCTCCCTCCAGCGGCATTGGCTTCGTCAAGCCCAAGGTCAAGTCGCCCACCAAGCCCGTGAAGCTGCCTGCTTCCCTGATGGCTCCGACTGCCGCCTCCGTCCAGAGAGTCAAGGAGGCTCCTCGCGAAACCCTCTCGCGCGCCTCTGGCAACCAGGGCCGCCCGGCTAGCAGAGCGAGCGCGCCCGGTGCTGCGGCGCCGCCCAAGACTCTAAAGCGCCAGAACTCGGTCATCAACCGGCCCCGGCCCAGCATTGGCCCGCCGCCAAAGAAGCCCCTCCAGGACCACCCCATTACCAAGAAGGACAAGGAGGTTGACGAAGGTTTCCTGGCTCGTATGATGCGACCCACGGCGAGCTCGACCTCGAAGGTGTCAGAGAAGGCTCCCGTTACCCCTCCTAGAAGCAGGAGCGCAAAGCCAAGCAGCGCCAAGAAGGCCTCTGCCTCAAGGAGCCCCAAGAGAGCGCTCTCTCGGCCGGCAGCGGTGCGGGCGGGAAGCCGCACAGGCAGCCCTTTCGCTAGCAAGAAGGATGCCCCAGCCAAGAAGGTCGTTGAGACCGCAGAGGCTGAGGTTATTGCTGAAGCACCGAGAACCCCAAAGGCAAAGGCACCGGCCACACCAGAGCCTATTGTCGAGGAGACCGCGGCTGAAGCTAGCCCGGCTAAGGAGGTTGAGACCGAGGCTCCTGTTGAGGAGACGGAGACCGCGGCGCCTGAGCTGGAGGCCGTCACCGAAGAGCGTGTTGAGGAGCCCGAGCTCGACGACATCATCCAGCAGACTGCCACGCTCGACCTCAAGGAGGAAGATGCCGAGGACCAAGAGCTTAAGAGCCCGGATGAGTTCGAGGAGCTGCTGGCCGACGAGAAGGAGGCGGAGGAAGACAAGACGGAGTCAGCTCCGGTCCCTGTTGAGGCGACCACAGAAGTCAAGACTGAGACTGCATGAAAAAAAGAATTGTGTCAAAGAGTGGCGGAGGTGATTGTATAGTTTTAGAAACCATTGGGGTGTACCATGATACCTGACCGACAAAAAGGCGTAAATTACTTCGTGAGAGATTTCAAAGTTCCGGAGCATGGAGAAGTTGGTGTCTGGAGCCCGAAATCAGTTATAGAGAATGAATACCACTCGCACAGAATTCTTTTTGACTCTTTGGACATTTGAACGGTTCGATATGAAATGTGAGTAATATTTTATGCTCTCTACGCGGGTGAGCGGTAGCTTGTTAACAAGCAGGCTCGAGCTTTGTGCTCCTCAAGAGCAGGTATCGCGGCAAGCTGGACACGGGACAGAGAACTTCCAAATGTGGTGGGTTCGTGTCTTCTCTAGAATACAACTTTTGTACAGTATATGGAGGACATTGCTCCTACAGAGTAGCAGCGGGCTGACTTTGACGCCTGCCCAGTGGTGTCTTCTTTTCTCCAAGACTCCTTTTTTCCCGAGGCCCAGATGCTCTCTCCTCGTAGGGAGTGGCTATCAAAAATCCCCCTTCTCCAAGGCCATCTTTCTTCCCCCTCCTACAACAAGGTCCATGTTCCCCTTCTTATCTCGCCCGGCACAGCACCATACCGCCAACTTTCCTCGCCAGCGCCTCCCTCGCCTCCAAGATACCCCTATCCGTAGAAATAAACAGGCACTCGCCCAGCGCCAACCCCTTGACGAGGCCGTTCTTGGTCGGGAACCCGCGAACGACGAGCTCGAGGTCCTCAATGTGGACGTTGATGGGCCGCGTGGGCTTGGTGACCATGGTCAGGCCGCGGAGGACGGGCTCGTTGTTCCAGTATTTGAGGCCGAGCCAGAGGCGGCGCGTGGCGACGTTGGCCGAGGTGACGGGTTCCGGGTCGCGGGCGAGGTCTTCGGGGGCGGGCGGGGTGGGCCCGCCGCGGTAGAGGGAGGAGACGAAGCCGGAGCGGTGGAGAGCGAGGGCGAGGTTGAGGTTTTGCTTTGTGTTTGTGACGGATGTCATACCCAGGCGTGCGCGGGAGGCGTTTTGGAGATGGGAGCACATGTTGATTACGTTTGTTAGGCCGCCCATTTTGGAGTTTGGTTTGGGGAGCCTTGGGCTCGCCGGGTACGTGGGTGTGAGGATGTGGTATTCGGGAGGGTTTCGGAGTCGTAAGGGGAGAGTCGTCGAAGTCGTCGCGATGCTGTGAGGGACGGTCTGTTGGCGATTTGCGTTGAAGCTCAATTGACGGGCGGGAGCTTACTGTGTTGATGTCAATTGACGATCGGTTCGACGTCGTACAGCTCGTGAGATTCGAAAGGAGTGTGCGTTGCGCGTTGGCTGGCTCCAAAGAATAATCCGTCACTCACGCATTCAAAGCCACAGGGAAGCTATCGCCAAAATTTTGGACACGCCCAGCGCAGCCGTTGTCGAATGATGACTAAGGCAGAAGTACATCGGTACCTACCTCAGGTCACCACTCACCGAGCCACCATAAGGTAGGTACCTCACTCACCTCAACTTACCTTATCTTATCTTCTTCACCTTGAGAAAAAAAAGGTCCATGCGACACGGCGCAAGTCGGACTCCACTCCCCGACGACGGCACTTTCCCGTCAACTGCACCGTTGTGCATAACCCCGGCCGGAGCTTCTGATTGGTTGTCCCCGACGTCCTGTAAGCGCCGAGTTGACCAGTCGATGCGACCAGCTGCAGCTCACCACCCATGCATTTCACAGCAGACGCAACGCAAGCAGGGCCTGGCACGCGCATGGTCTCTTCCTTAGCTCGGGAGCTTCTGGGACTTGGAGGAGAACGGCGGGGGTTGATGGGCGTTCTGCGAAGTCGGAAGACCCTCAAGGTAAGGTAGCGTGCGTGGTTCTTCCTTTTTGTCACTGCGAATTGTTTTTTTGCTCATGCCATTGGAGAGGGGTGTTTTCGAGGCGGTCTGGCTACCGAGTGGTACCAAGATAAAGAGAGAGAAGAGGGCTAGAGGGGTATTGGGTGATTGATCACACGAGAGGAAGAGAGAGAGAGAGCTTTGGATCGTCGAGACTGGTCTGTTCTGGTAGTAAGCAAGCTACACAAAACCTCAACACCCTCGGCGCAAAACAGTCCATCTTTTCCCACCTCCTCTTCCTCAAACGAAACTCTTTTCCCCTTTTTTTACCTCTCACTCATCTTGTTCCTGAAATAAACCAGGTGCCACACACACTCTCATCTTTCTCTAATTTCGCCCGTAACAGAGAGCTCTGTTGGTTCTCTATTCGTACCCGCTGCCGCCCTTGGCTACATTACCTTTTACTTTGACTGAGGCGGGGTAACAATTTGCCAACGCCCAACACCCCCCGAGAAAGTTGCGCGCCTCTCTGGTGCTTGTCAATCGGATCATCGGCCCAGGGAGTGGTCCCGAATCCTTGGACAGAGAGAAGGCAAGGAAGCTATTCTTGGAGCTCCCTTTGTTTAGCGTTGTTGGAAGCTCGGCAAGGTAAGGTAAGGTTTGGAGGGGTTGCTCGCAGCAATCCCACAATTAGAGAATGGCGACCCGGCCGGGAGAGGAGAACGTTGCTACACTGTGAGTTTTAATCTTGTTGGTTTCTGTCTTTCCGAAAAGGTGGTAAAGAAGCGTAACAGCTCGCACTTGTGTTGACCTTCTTCGGGCTTTCTTCTTCTTCTCTCTCCATCTGTCTCTTCACACCCACATCCAAAACCGGACGTGGGATTCTGCGATTTGCGATCCATTTACACATAGAGAGAGCGCGCGTATAGATGAAATAGAAGATGGCGGCTGCTGACTGGCCTCAAACGCTAAACAGCTTCGGAGATATTCACTACTTTTACGGCCCGCCGACGAGTAATCCGCCGCACCACCGCTTCGACAAGGGATCTTATGTCTACCTTTTTGAGAACGCAAACGACCGCCGCGCGCGCATCGAGATTGCCAACCAGCCCGGCACCGAAGATCAAGATGCCTTTGACGGATGTGCGTAGATATTCCATGTATCTTGCTCCAAGAGCTTTCTATCTCTCCAGAGCTGAAGCTAGGGCCTCCATGTCTAGCTTTAGCTGAAGCTCTAGCTGGAGCCAGAATTCTATCACGCCCGCTAACCAACATGCCTTCACAGTCCTCGACAAGACGCACGTTCGATACTCGTACAACCACCAGTGCATGGTAACCCTCATCGTAGGCGAGACAACGGACCAGATGGAATGGCATCTGCCCACCTACGATCCCCAGAACCAGAACAAGTACCACTACAAGCTCCATTCGCTCGACATCTACTTTTGGAAGGCCGATGACGCCGTCCAGTTCGTCAACGGCATCCGTTTCGTCCTCCCGCCCGCTCAGGTCGAGATCCTCGACGAGCCCCAGCAGCACCATCAGCAACATGTCCAGCAGCACACGCAACATCAACCCGTGAGCTCCGTCGTCCAACAGCTAGAACACGTCGCGATATCGGACCCAAACTACGGCTCCCCGAGAGGAGGCGCCTCCACGCAACAGCAGCATAACGGCTCAGCCTTCGCCGGGCCACCTACCTCAGCCGTACCCGCCGCACCACCAGCCCATCAACAACAGGAATCCCAACAGCCAGCGAGCTTCGCACCAATGGCATACAACCCCGCCGCCCCCGCAGCCCCAGAAGCCATCCGCCACAGAGAAAAGACCCCGCCCCCCGAAGACGGCGTCGCCGATCCCCTGGCCGCGGCCGTAGCCTACGACGCGCAGGCCCCGTTCTCCCCGGGCTTCGTGCCCCCTCCCGGGTTCCAGAGCGCGCATGGAGGCGGAGGTATCGGCCTCCCGCCTCCTCCCCCGCTGCCACAGTTTGGTGGACCCCCGGGCCAACCCGTCCTCCAGCGGGCGGCAACGATGCCGGCGCAAGCCGTACACGGCGCCCTCGCGTCCCCGGGTCTAGTCAACCCCTACGCCAACGGCAGCCCGTTCCCCTCATCCCCTGGCTTCGCGCCACCGCCGCCGCCGCCTACCCAGCCGCCTCAACTACAACAACCTCAACCGCAGACGCAGCAGGGAACACCCCAACCGCAAGCCGCCGCCGTCCACGCCCCTCCGACACCCCCTTCAGCGACGACGACCGCTGCCTCCGCGCCGCCGGCTGCAGGGGCCCCGATGTCGCCTCCGCCCGGCGGGTTCTCGCAGTACTCGTATAGCAGTAGCAACGGGGGTAGCCAGCAGCAGCAGCAGCCGGGAGCGTTTGACTACTCTATTCACCAGCAGGCGTATCGGCCTACGGAGATGGAGGCGGGTAAATATAAAGGGTATACGGGCAAGCAGGAGCCGTCAGGGAGGTTGGAGGCGAATGTTGGGAGGTTGGAGAAGGGTGTTACGGGGATGTTTAGGAAGTTTGAGAAGAAGTTTGGCTGATGTGGGATAAGTGGTTGCGATGTGCGGGAAAGCGGAAGATGGGAGACTAATACTTTGGATGATTTCTCTCCTTCTTCTTTTTTTGTTTCATAGGGGGGGGAGCAATCCTGGATGCCTTTGGATAGTTTGGTCATTGAGTACGTAACCTCAATGGATAATTTTCCTGTTTGCAAATATTCCGGATGCCGCGTGCATCGCTGAATAAATAGTCTTTTTTCCTGCGTGTACACTTGAGAATATCATCAATGCTGAGTGGTAATCCGGTCAACGAGGCAGCTTCATCCGAATCTCAACAGAGAGGTTGAGCTGTTACCATAGATCCTGGAGACGGCTATACACTCTTGTTTGCTCGCCCTCTTCACCCCTTTCTCTTCAACCGGGGGCAGCTAAAGAGAGGTGACCACTTCAAAGTGGTAGGTTCCCAACGACGATGACTGTATGCCTGGTTTGCAAAATGAATAAAGCTCAATATGGAGAGAAACGTCTAAAAAGCCCAAGAAAAAAACCGGAGTCTGCCTTTCCTGATAACACGAGCTATTGATGTTAGAGGTGACGAAGTTTTCACATATGCCTAGTTCGCGTGTAAGACGAGTTAGAAACGTATGCTCGTGCTCCTGAGAGCAAAGTATTTGCTTTCATCGCATAGCGTTACACTCACCATCGACAAGTCTCATACCATCTCGGTTCGAATACTTTACCTAAACATGCGACAATCTGTATCCCAGCACCAGATTCAAAGGCGGCAATGGTATCGCTTGCTATATGAACGTGAGTCTAGGATTGATGCAGACAGCCATGTTCATCAGGGATAGTATCCTCTGAGCTGATATCGATCGATACGATTCGTAGCGCAGGCAGCAAGCAAAGCGCCTCAATCTCACACTATCGTTTCGATCGGCAGATGTACTCCATACGTCATGCACGGATGCGATTGACAACGTGGTGGCCTGGCACGCCCGAGGAAGGATTCGCGACTTTTTTGGGGGCCGGAATGTCGCTCCGTCAAAACGACCAGATCCAGTTCCTTTCAAATGGCAAAGTGATGAGGCTTTGTTGGTCTCGGCATGTGGTGGAGGGCTGGCAGGATTCATGATACAGAACGCAATGCGTGGTGATGAATCCTGCGAGCGATAACTGCAGCTGACAGTGGATAGGTCTCCTCCGTGAGACAGCGGGATGGGGTTGCGGGGTGTGATAACGCCTTGCCTTTCATCCGATGATGAGGAAGAATGCCTGTCTTTTTCAGGTTCTCTGCTACTTCTCATTTGCATGGTATTTCGTCGACCAGAATATCAAAACGTATGTACAGATCCTCCGTAAACAATCATTCGTCCTCTGATGAAATTGACAGAGAAACTGGGACCAAGCCTGAGCTCGTATAAGTCAAGGTTGTGACACCTTGAGAGCACCGATTCAACGTTGCGTCGCCTTATCCTTGATGCGGAATGATTTCAGATTTCGCGCGGGGGTTGCGCTGGACGGCGTCTTCCAATGGGCTGACAAAACGGGCCTAACAATTAAGTCGTCCGACCCGAGGCACGGCCGGCTGCCCTACAGGCAATGGCTACTGTACAAGATAGCCAGTCGTCTCTTTCCTTGAGTTCTGTCAGCGCTACTCGCGAAGGTGGACGAATGAGAGGGTGCGGCTAGGCGATTGGGTGGTTTAAGAAGGCGTGCAGAAATGTCTTAGACAAGAAGTGCATCTGTCTTAGACCTGCATAGTAGCTGGGCTTTCGTTCCTGAATAGCGTTGCGCCCTCGAGGAAGTCTTGATGACCATGTAGTAGTCTCTGGGTGTTGATTTCGCAACCATTTGACTAGTTCGGAAGTACAGCATGTGAGATATGTCTTCGAGAAGGGCTGTGGCAGCTTTCGAAGAATGATGGCACCTGGGCTGACTTTGACTTGCTTGCAACGCTGGAGTAAGCCCACGCAGGCGGCAGCCCCTCCGTCCCCAGCCACATAGTCATCATGATGTAGATGAGGCGGTGCTGGAGACCGCGGGGCATCCCTGCCATTCCTCGACTGGCTCGCGAGCTGCCAGGCAGCCCCAATGTTGGCGGTTAATCTTCTCACAAGTCACAACTTACCCACGCTATCTCACCTGTCCCGGGGAACCCTGCCAGCCGCCATGTCTGTGGGCTGTGGCAGAGCAGCAGCTGGACTCAGCCGGTGGCTGGTGAGAGCTGCTCTATCAAGTACACCAGCCTCTGGAGACTGGTACGTTGATGTTGCTTGCTTTTCGTTGCACTGTTGCTGGGCCATGATGCTTGTTGCTGGAAATAGTATACCGTTACCGGGCAAAACTGGAGACACGGCGCTCGAGTTCTTCTTGGCCAAGTGGGTTCTAGTCAATCGAAAAGCCCAAGCCGGATGGCGGCATGGCATGGCGACGGCGTTCCTGAGGAGGCCCCTGCTAATGCTTAAATTCGTGACACGGCAGGTGACGGAAGCGAAATCACTGCCCTAGGGCATGAAATCAAAAGAGGGGGCAGCAGCAGCAGCAGCAGCAACTTCTTGTCAAGGACAGATTGATTCTATCGTCGACTCGTTAGGCGTGAGAGACGGTTTCGTCTGATGTCACTCGTGGACCCGAATCAAGACAGGAAACGGGGAAGTTGATGGAGCAAAGATGATGGGGTTTCGACGTTGCGTGGGCCAGAAGTTTTAGGGCCGAATGACACCGTTGCAGCAAGCCGCAAGCCACACGTCAAGCCTCAAGGACAAGCTGCCGGCGCGCGATGGGATCGCCAGTGACGATGATAGCGCCAATCTGTATGATGTCTCCGTAGCCTGTGTGCCTGTGCAGAGCGGGTGACCACTGACAAGACTGGTGCCAACGCCAACACCGCCCTGCCCTGGGCACTGCCTCACGCCCCGATGGTTTGGGTTGGGCTGACTGAAAGTTGGGGCCCCTAGGAGGTGTCTGACGCAGCGAACATGGGCTTGAATGTTGACTGTATGGATGGTCCTGATTTGGCATTCGTACTTGGGTGATTGATGTCAGATGGTGATTTGAATGGAAGCTTCTGTTGCTTAGTGAACCCCACAGAAAGACAAGCTGGTTCGATTGAACGCCCAGTGCGGAAAGGGGTTGATAGAAGAAACATTGCTCGTTGTTTGCTCTGCAAGTGAAGTTTGACAGACGCAGAGGAAAGGCCTCTTTTCTTCCATGTTTCGCCTAGCCCGTGTTTGCAGATAGTCTTCCTGGTAGGAGTATCCCGTACGGAGTACGTAGGCATGGTCGTGTCATGTATCCATGTACACGGATAGGTACTTGGGAAACGCCGAGAATGATTCGATGAACGGCGTTCGCTGATTTGGGGTAAACTCAAATGATTTGATTGTTTGGTTCATTGGCTCATTGGCGGTTCGGTCGGCCTGCCATCTTATGTCTATCTGGAGCGGCATTGAGAACAGTCGGGATTGTCTTGTCCGATATTGTTGACAGCGAAGGCCGTTGCCATCGACTCGAAGCCGTTCCGCAGGGTCCAGTGCAGCTGCGTACGTGAGACACCATAGACTCCTCAGACAGAGAATCGGAGAATCGGAGAGGGAGGACGCGACGACTTGCATCGTCCTCGAGCAAAGTTGCAACGGGATGAGCGGCGCGCACAGCAACGTGGAACCTGGACAAGGTTAGCGCAGAGATTCTTCCCGCCGCCGGCACCCACTAAGGAACATACACGAGCGACGCTAAAGTGAGCTACGAGGCGGCCCACCTCGAGGGGGGGAGTGGAGGATGTTTGTTGTGCGAGGTACCTCGTTTCTCACATTGCAGTGGGTGGCTGTTGAAGTACCTTTGAAACATGGCCATAGAGTGAGAGCGAGTGAGACTGCCAGAAAGATGTCAGAAAGAGAGAGAGAGAGAGAGAGAGAGAGAGAGAGAAAGAGAGAAGCAGAGAGTCTCGGGGTCCAGCTGTGAAGGGCAACTGCAGACTGCAATTGCAACAGCAGCTGCAGGCCCGGCTGTGGGCAGCTGCAACTGCAACAATCCACTTTCGCATCCTGCTCTGCTCCTGCCTAGGTCCTTCTCGTGCCTGCCTCCTGCCTTCCGTCGAAGCTCTACCTCACACAGTACGTACCTATGTCCTGCTGCACTGCGCTGAGGCAGAGGCATCCGCATCCGCTTCCTCGTCCTCATCTTCACCCGCAACCTCGACCGCGACATCAACCGAGATTCTGTCTGTTCGCCTTTCCTCCTCCTGCTGCTATTCTTCTCTTTACCTTAGGCTCCTCAAACAACATCACTCCGTCGTCTACCAACAGAAGCCGTTTCCCTATCCAACCTACATCACTTATTTAATCGTCCACTATACGCCGCCGCCCCGGCCATCCTGACGTCCACACGTCCAACATCCAACACGCAATACGCTTACGGATACCCGCCTTGGATACCTTACTCAGGCAACCCAAGAGTGATCCGACCCAGAAACGCTGCTGCCTCTAGTCCATCCGCCTCCGCCTCCGCCTCCGCCTCCCTCCTGCATCGCAACCAAGACCAAGCACACATACGGCTACAGAGCACTTCAAGGGCAAGGCACCGACCTGCTGCTCCGTGCCTCCCAGCCTCACAAAGCTCACACCCTTCCCGGATCCATCCAACCCACTACCCACCCGAAAGGACCCTTCATCGCTCACCACCGAGTCCCACTGCGCTGCACAGCACTGCACACAGAGAAGAGGCACAAGTTTACACCCAGTCTACGGGCACGGATACGTACCTCGCCGCCAGCTTCTGGACCCCCGGACCTTTCGAGGTTGGCCCTGTGCTACTACCACCGCGGCACCGCTACTACCAAGTAAAGTACCAACCTGCACCTTGCCTGGACCTGGTCCCGTCAGTCTTCTCGCCTCACCTCACCTCATCTCACCTCCAACCGCCAAACCAACCGACTGCTATTGCTTGCTTCCTTCTCTCTCTCCCACATCATCTCTCGACTTCTCCCACGTCCACGACACTTCGACCATCACCTGTATCGCCGTCCCTTCGTCTCCGATCCAACGCGTCCCCATAAGCGTTCCTGCAATTACCGAGTCTCAATGTCCCAGTCCTGACGCTTATTATTCGCTTTGCGCAGCTGGGACGCCCCGCCTTAATCCGCCTCGCCGTTGACACTCCAGCGCCTCTCGACCTTAAACCGCCGACCCTTCCGTTCCGGTACTCTGTCGAAATTCAGTCGCTCGTTACACGCAATGTACCTCAAAATGCGAATACCACTCGACCTCTCCGCCAGTTCACAGAATGGCTATACTGCGATGCTGCAACGTCGTGAAGAAATCGACGGCAGGAAAATTACCACAATTGTAAGTGACAAGACATGTGAAAGACTCTTTTCCCCGTCCACCATTACCCTGTACTAAGCCGCTGACGCCATACTGCCAAAGGTCATCCTTGGTGTACTGGTTCTCCTCATCTTCATCGCCTTTGTCGTCTTCTCCCTCCGCGCATCTCGGCGCTCTACCCGCGGCAACAGCAAAAAGCCTAGCGGCGGCGGCTTTTTCAAGTCAATATTGAAAAATGGTGGCAGAAACAGATACCGCCAAGCTCAGGATGAAGACTCCACCTCTACCGAACGATTGACCGACCGCCGTCGATCCCGCCCCTCATCTGTCGCATTCGATGCCTCGGCCGATCAATCGCAGGCCGATGCCCGCTCCCCCAACAGCGCTGTCAACCGCAATACTTCGATTCGTTCAATCATGACGTTGCCTGCTTACCGGCCTGATCCGAACGAAACCGAGCAAGTTCTGGGTCGTGAAGGTGAACGCGGCGGTGTTGATGTCGTTATCGAATATCCCACGGAAGAAACAGAGGAGGATCTGCGTGATCAGGAGATGGAGGCTCTTTACCAGATTCGCCTGGCCCGCCGTCAGGAGCTTGCTGAGCGGGAGGAGCGGAGAGTGGAGCGCCGGGAAGCTCGGGAACGTGGTGACTTTGTAGCTCTGGACAACATCCGATCCAGAGCTCGGGCTGCCAGCAATAACAGCGTTGTCGCGGTCCTCCGCGAAGAACATGAACGCCTGAAGAATGAACGTCAGAGAGCTGTTTCCAGTGTTTCTTACGCCGATCTCGGTGTTGCTCGTCACGACGGCACACGACTTCGCGCCAACAGCAATGAGAGTGAGAGGATGGGGCTGCTTTCGGACTCTGCCAGTATTGCCGCCACCTCCATCCGATCCGGCGCCGGTTCAGCCATGAACCACAGGAGAGGCAGCTCTGTAATGAGCGTCGAAAGCGACCTACCTTCGCCAGGATTTACTTCTAGGTCACGGGCAAACTCTCGACCAGATACCCCCCGCCTAGATACCCGGGCAGGGTCCAGTCCGGATGTCGAAGCTGACGTAGGAGATGCTGGCATGCCCATCTACTCTCCACCTGGATACGACGAAGTCTCGCTAGATGACGAGCGTTCCAGGAGCAATACTCCCCAACCTGGCACTGAGCCTCCGCCGACGTACCCCGGCCCTGCTCAACAACGGGCAGAGAGCATTGCCTCAAGCATGGCCGACTTGGTTGCAGATGAGCAGACTACAAACAACTTTGCAGACTCACGCCGGAGCTCAAGGGTACCACGACTGCCTAGTCTACGATTGCAGCAAGTGCCGCAAATCGTGATAGAACCTTCCAGTGCCAGACCTCACGATGATAGGTGACGGCCTGAGCTGGGATCGCGCGAACCAAATTCAATCTGATGATTACGGCTGAAAGCAATGAGCCTGTTGCAAACGAATAAACGCCTGGAGGCTATTTTGTTAGTACATACGAAGTCTTGAAGGGTAAAAACAAATACCGGTTGGATGGGGCGCTTGCCCTCTTGAGGCAAGGTCTTGAATCTTGTTTGTATAATAGTCTTCCGGCATACCGGATATCGGCGTTTGGCGAACCTCGTTCCGGATTGAACGAGTGCAAAGGATACCAAAGCGATTTATTAGAGAAGTTGCTGCGCCATGTATCGTTGTAGCCTACGTGCTCGACATAGCAATGGCTTGTCATTTTTTCGTCCACAAGAGAATACACAATTTCAATTGATGGTCTTGCGGTGATTGATTATGCCGTCTGTCACGGGCTGGAGCAGTAATCTGGTGTGATCAGATCCATCGGATATGCAGTGTAGATGAGCTGACCACTGCCGATGTATACGCTGAGCCCTCTCGTCTCCTGCTCACTTTTTGATCCTAACTCCCCTTTGATAACCAGAATTATGATACCCTACATGTACCGATCAGTGGAAGCATACTCAGCCCTAGGTAGCGTTGCTCAGGTCGTCTAGGACCTCCCATAGAGTAAGACTCGCATCTCTTAAACGATTTTGAGGCACTGCCTCCAACGGTATGGGAAAACAACAGCATTGATACAAGAACGCAGGTAGCAGACAAAAGCTTTCTTGTACGCCCTTCCCCTTTGGCTCCATTGATAGGCTTACAGTGGTGTATAGCATACTAGTAAAAGACGTTTGTAATAACACTCGCTAATAGCAGCTCCAATGATGTCCACAACTTTCAGGAACTCAGGGTTGTGGACGACATCAATTTCTCAATCATGGCCCAGAATGTGGACTACATGTCCCCTTGAGGCTTGTCAAGGGGACTTGAGAGGTTGACCGATGGTCTAAATAAGGCAGCCGGGAGAACGAGGCGGTTTAAGGTACATAGGCTCGGATTTGAATGGTCAAGTAAAGTGAAGACTTTGGCAACAAGTTTTGAAAGTATCTTATCTGGAAGACTGCGCAAAATTTGTTACTAGGCAAGTGAGAGTTCTTGTCATGAGCGAGGAAGTCGAAAGCAGTCATGTGTACCTCTCCCTCCAGACCCAGATGCCAGGCCATGAGGCGTCTTGCATAGTTTTCCAAAGAGACAAGAGAGGCTCAAAATTATAGTTTGCTGACGAGCTCTATAGCTCTCCCAGGTCTGGAGGGGCTTGAATTCTGAGCCAGAATAACGAAAGAAAAAGACTCGGGTCCTGTATTCTTTGTAGGATGTGAGAACACATCTCGGGGGCGCCTACATACGCTTGAGATCATAACTTGGATCTTCGGCAACGCCAGGTGAGAGACCACCATATCAGTCCAAGAATCCTGCGCTAAGGCAGCGTAGGGGTCTGGTCAGAATATCTCCAACTGTCTCCAAGGTTGGGCAATGGCTTCTTAAGCATAGACTTTGGCAGCACGAACAATCTCTAGACTGCCTAGACAACGTGTATGGATACTGCAACGCACATTGGCAATCTTTAATCACCGAGGTAAAAGGGATTTACGAAGTGGCATACCTCCTTCATTCTCTGGTCCTGTCACGAGGTCTTCAAGAAAATACCTACTACTCCGGGAACGCTGTACGCATATATGCCTCAAGCTTCTCCAAAGCCTCCACAAGCACCTCGGTATGACACACATACCCAATTCTCACATACCCCTTAAAATCCTTCTCATGACCAAAACACTTTGACCCCGGCACGAAAAACACATTCGTCTCCCTCAGCACATCCAGACAAAACTTCACATCGTCCACCGGCTCGCCGCTCCTGTGCCTGAAGCGTATAAACGCAGTCGTCCCAGCCAGCGGCCTTATCCACGAACACACACCCTTATGCCTCTCAATGAACGCCTCAAGAAGAGCCTTATTGTTGACGGCGAGCCCGACATTCCGCCGTAGAAGCGGCGTGTAGACGGGTGGTGATAGAGCGTAGGACGCGATTTGGTCGTCGATTTGGGAGACGCTTATGGTGGTGTAGTCGCGCGCCGAGGCGACGGCTTGAATGATGGCCTTGTCGGCGGAGGCGATCCACCCGATGCGGATTCCGGCCAGGGCGTAGGATTTGGACATGGAGCCTGTGACTACAATTTTGGGGTAGCCAAAGGTTGTGAGGGGCGGGGGCACGTCTGCGTATGCGTCTGAGCCGGCGGGAGAGAAGAGGTTGTGGAAGAGCGGGCGGTAGACTTCGTCTGAGAAGAGGACGATGTCCCTGGCTTTGGCGAATGCGACGAGGGAGGCGAGGACTGGTGTTGGGATGGGGATGCCAGTTGGGTTGTTTGGATTGTTGATGATGATCATCTGGTGAACGGGGTTAGTTACAGAGGATCTGTCATGAATGAGTAGATGGAATTACCTTTGTGTTGGGCTTGACGAGGGCTTCGAGTTCGCTCACATCCGGCACGAAGCCGTTCTCCTCTTTGAGCCTCCACAGGGAGACATCCGCGCCGAGACTCTCAGGGACGCTGTAGAGCTGCTGGTACGTGGGATACACGCATATGACGTGGTCGCCGGGGTTCACCAAGGTGTACAGCAGCAGGAAGTTCGCACCGATGGCGCCCTGCGTAATGAGCACGTCGTCTTCACATAGCACGTCGGGAGTTGAATCATCCGAGCCGGCCCCGGCGCCGCTACAGAGCGCAGCGACTCTCTGACGGAGTCGGGCGGAGCCGCGGATGGGGCCGTAGACTAGCTTTGTGGAGAGGTCAACGGGGCCGGGGGCGTGCTTATCCTCGGAGAGGGTGACTAGGTCATTTACGGAGACGGAGGCGGCGCAGGTCTCGGCGATGTTGAGACAGCCTGGGGTTGTCTCGTACTCGTCCATCCATTGCTCCACATCGAAGGCCGATATCCGGACCATTTTTGGGGAGGGGAAGGGCGAAAAGGTTTGGGCTGTGCGGGATGCGTTGGATGGGTGGCTCAGGATGATGACGATTGAGCTAGAAGAGGAAGTCTAGTGGGCAGCAGTAAGCTTGGGTAATAGGAGAGTAGAAGAAATGTGGAGGAGTGAGGCTTTTGCGATTTGCGATGGGTTGAATTGATACAATGCCAAGGCTGGCGGGATTATGGGAAACTGGGATCTCAAACAAGAGTCATGGTCACTTTTGCATATACATACATAGACACACACACACACAAACACACTGGCACAGTTGCTTCGACCTCGTCCATAAGGCGACTAATGGCCTTCCGGCGTATCAGCACGGACAGGATGCATCTTCGGACTGCTCAGAGAAACATTGGACATTATGAGCACACGGCGGCGTCCCGGGCCTAACGCATGCCAATGGCCCGTCAACAGGGTGCGCATGGGAGAGTGTCTGCCACTAGGAAGACTCTCCGTGAGCACAGATGCACGGGATTGTGGTTGTTGGAGAAAAGTATAATGCCGTGGATGTTAGGTACCTGAGTGAGGTTCCATTCAATGCGGGGAGCAAAAGCAAAGGAGGTAGAGCAACAAGATCAAATCGGCTCGAGCTGAGATGAGCTGTGGCTGGAGCTTCTAGCTTCGGTGACAAACGGAAGAAATCATGACTAAGACCGAGGTAAAACAAGGATAGACTAGAGCTCTTGGTGTGCCCATTATCTGTTGTTTGTATCGTATCGTATCGTATCGTATTGGGTCAGTGCCAGTTCCAGTGACAGTGTCTAGTTCCAAGTAAGCCAAAAACATGTATGAGAAACCTTCGAGCTATTCTGCTTAATTGGCATAGCTGAAGTGATAATCTATCGTGTTAAAGGAATCACCTGCAGCTATACTTCATCAGGCTCGACATTGCTTGTGAGGCCACTGGCTAGAGTCCCTACTGAAGCCCATCGTCTGTACTCTGTTGAGCTGTGCCATGGATTATTTTTTGTTCAGAATCAAGTACCATAGTCCCTTCAGTTCCGGCCAGCCGAACTATGTGAGAATGGAGTACACCACAAGTGGCAGATCCACCTGAGCGTCAGATGAGTGGCAGATGGACATGCCTGGTGCTTGACCTTACGCTTAGATGTGCAGTCGCATTGGATCGATGTGTTTCAATGGCGACGTCGCTGGTGGTAAGTGCAAGGTCGCAGAGGGTAATGCTCATGGATCTCGCAGCTGGCAGGCGTCTTCCCTGTAGGTTTGTCTGCATTGGGCAGTGGAGGGCATCAGCTAAGCTGTTGAGGTAACTACCTACTCAGCTACACCAGATAGGCACCAAGAACTCGAGGGAAGGGGGGCAACAAAGAGTTGAACTATTCTTAGCGTCTTGTCTCGTCCCGTCCCATGGAACTGGTTGACCGAGGGAAACGGCGGGGGTTTGGCCTTTGGGGAACAAGAGAAGAAGCCTGACAGATTGAGCTACAGGATGCTAAGGGCAATGGAAAGGCACCGGAGGTATCTACAAATACGTACCCAGGCACATGGTCAATGAACCTGAAGCCTCAGGCTCTTGCGGTACGAACTCGGGAGGTTCAGCCACCCCACGGGACGCTGATGCGTGTTTCCGACTGGCACAGTGGGGTCCCCAGCCTGTCGAGGTACGTCTCCTACAGATTTATCCACTGTGACGCCACCGCCACCTCACGATTGGACCGTCCCGTCCAGCTGGAGACACCTCGGAAGCGGGTACGTACCGCAGTAAGGTACCAGCAAGCCGCGTCGCTGGTTGCTGGGTGCTGGCTGAGGTGCTGCTGCTGCGGGTTATTATCGGCCGGTGGTACCTCTGTTATCGGCTCGGTGCCTTGGTCCAGCGCAGGTCATCCACGTCTGTCTTCACACGCCTCCTCCCGCAGGCCAAGAGCTTCCACTCCTCCTCCATCCTCCGCCGCTCTGTTCGCAGCCGTGTCCATCTCCGTTGGGTCCAGTTCAGTCCAGTCAATGATCTGACCTTCTTTCTCCCCTCTCTGATCTGCTCCCAACATACACGTCACCTTCCTTTGACATCGACATCTCTCCCGCCGCCACTCTTGATCTGCTGGCATCCGACTCGGTGTCTAATCCGCCACTTCAACACGCCCATCATGGCTCCTCCCGCCTTGAGGAGCCTCCTCATCGGGGCTCTGGCATGTCTTCCTGTCCTAACTTCGGCTCAGCGCAACTATTCCACCACCGCCGATATGCTGCGAGCCCAGCTCACCTTACTCGACGATCGGCCCTCTGATTGTCCTCCATGGTGAGTGCTTTTCCGTCGAGAGGTTGCAATCTCGCGATCATGCTGCCATCGCCTGTGCCTTCAACTCCCCAATGCTAACATAGATCCTTTGCGCAGCTTCAACTGTCTTCTCCCTGCCCACAAGTGTACCCAGTTTGCCGGCTGCAATGACT